GGCAACCTGCTCCCAAAGGTGAGGGTGGCGAGGTGCTCCCCCCCTTCCCCTTCATTCTCCCGTCTCATCTTTACAGGACAAAAACACAGAACTTCTGCCGCAATGAGTACAACCTGACAGGGCTGTGCAACCGCTCCTCCTGCCCGCTGGCCAACAGCCAGTATGCTACCATCAGGGAGGAGAAAGGTGAGGAGGGCAACACTGTCTGCCCCAGGGCATCCTGGCCCCCAGCACACGTCCCCTCTCCAGTGTGCCCAGTGTGTCTCCCAGCATCACACTCCTCTCTTCTCCAGGTCGGTGTTACCTGTACATGAAGACAATAGAGCGGGCGGCTTTTCCTCGTCGGCTCTGGGAGAGGGTGAGTTAATGAGAGCAGTTTGTGTCCCAAGAGGCAGTTGAAGGCAGGGAGCGATGGGCCAGATACATCCCCGCACTGTTGCCACTCCATAACCCAAGTCTTTTCCTTTCCCCACGCCAGGTCCTGCTCAACAAGAACTATGAGAAAGCACTGGAGGAGATCGATGAGAACCTCATCTACTGGCCACGGTTTGTCCGACACAAGTGCAAGCAGCGCTTCACCAAGATCACCCAGTACCTCATCCGCATCCGGAAGCTGACGCTCAAGCGACAGTAAGTGGCAGGACTAAGAGTGATCATGGTGTGATTTGTCAAGCTGCTGCCTTTCCCCGGAGCCTCTACCTCTCCCCCCTGCACTGGGTTGTTCTCCTGAGGCTCTGCAAGCTCATACAGGGCCCTGGCCAAAGTGGATTTAACTGCAGTGTAATCCAAGTATAACTGCACTTAAACTAGCTGCAGCCACGCTTCTAATCATGTAAATGCTGGTTGTTGGCCTTACTAGCACTTAATGTTCCCTGTAGGAGGAAGCTTGTTCCTCTGCGCAGGAAGATTGAAAGGCGGGAGAAGAGAAGAGAGGTAACACCACTTTTTCATGTCATCTCGTGTCTATCGCTTCTGTTCCACACATCAGACAAGTGACACAGCTCCTCTCTGCTCCATTAGGAGAAGGCCCTGGTTGCTGCTCAGCTGGATAATGCCATTGAGAAGGAATTACTGGAAAGGCTGAAGCAGGATACGGTAAGGATCAGCAGTAACACTGCTCTCCCTGCCTGCTGGCCTGTGGGGAGGGACACCGGCCTTGGTGTGGAAGGGAAGCACAGCCCATATGGGAGGGGTAGGGGATGACAGCAGGCTGCCTGCTTGAGTGGCTTTGTAACAGCAGGACTTGCTTCCCCCCAGAACACAGAGGCCCCATCTTCTGTACAGGAGCACATCCTTCAGAATTAGGGAAGGGGCTGATCCCCCCGCTCACCCGAGTTTGGTGCAAGCTTTACATGACCCTCCCACCCATGGCTGACTTCCTCCTGTGACTTACAGAAAATCCACATATTCCTTTTCAGTACGGAGACATTTATAACTTCCCCATCCACGCCTTTGACAAAGCTCTGCAGCAGCAAGATGCAGAAAGCGAGAGCGAGTCTGATGCAGAGAAGGAAGAAGAAGATGAGGAGGTAACACTCTGAGCCACAGCACCACAGCTGATCCCTCCCTGACCTGGTGCAGCACCTCCAGCTCACCTCACCACCAGCATTGGAGTGTGAATGCTGGGGTGAGAGGAAGCAATTAGAGGAGGTGAACTGCGTACTAAGTACTTGTGTACAAGTGGTGGCCTTGATGGCTTTTCTGTTGCTAGGCATGACACTGCACTGTGCTCAGCACTGGGGCATTAGCTTCTGACTGTTTTCTTGCAGGATATGGATAAGAGAGACTTTGTGGAAGCAGATGACAGTGACCTCAGTGACTTTGAGGTAAGTGAAGCACCAGCTATAAACTGTCAGGGCTAAGCTGTTTGAAATTAACCTCCACCCTCTTGGCGTCTCTGGTGATGGGATAATCAGATTTGTGGAACATAATGATACAGTCAGACTGTGCCAGATCCACAACACCCCACCTGCTCTGGCGAGACAGCTGGGAGCCAGGATTAGAAAATGGAATTGGATACATGAGAGAATTGTGCAGGAAGGAGGTTTGGTTACACAGCATGCTCTGATGTCACTCATCCTCCTTTCTCAGGACATGGATAAGTTGGAGACAAGTAGTGAAGAGGAGCAGGAAGTGGAGGAAGAAGTACAGAAGAAAGCCTCTCGCTCCAAATCTAAAGGGAAAACTCCCCTGAAAGGACCAGCCAGAAGAAAACGTCCCTACATTGAAATAGAGTATGAGAAAGAAACAGAGACAGCCACCAAAACAAAAGCAGCCTGACTCCTCCAAGCTGCACTTTGTACTGAAGGACAGGACTCCCCTTCTGTCACCAGAACTCCTTCCAGCTTCTGCCACTCTGTGCAGGACCCTTACTACTCCTTTTTCCATACTCCAGACTAATACTTTAAGAAAAGAAGGGTGTCTGACCCGACCCTGGGCAGTTGCAGCAAGTTTGTGCTTACATGAAGTACATTTAAGAAGACTTCACCTTGTCTACAAAGGCTCAGCTCGGACTGTGCTCCAGGAAGGAACCTGGCCTGGGGGCACTGCTGCTTTGTTCTACAGCTGGAGAAGCCGTGAGCACACAAGTGTGCCTTCTTTGGGAGAGTATGAGGCTAACAGGGCTGGGATGAGAAAGACAGCAGCTTGAAATAAGTAAATAAAGAGTTTACTGTCCAACAAGGGGGTGAGCACTGATCAGCCACACCTCACGTGTGCTCTTGCACTTTCCTGATGCATTCCCGCACGCGGTTCTCCTCACAGCTGCTGTACACACCTTCCAGCAGGACCTGAAACGAGAGCAGCATCAGTTCCTAGTGCCTTGGCACGCTCAGGTTTATGGCGTTAGCATCCCTCTCCCAGCTATCTGTTGGAAGGGAGTTACACAAAGCATATATAGATCAATTAATTTATCAATCGAGTGATAATGTTGAGGTGGGTGGAAATTGATGTTTTCAATACCCTGTTGGGCTGAGGAAGGAGGTGGGCTCTTGCATGGTGCTGCCCCTTGTACGGGATCGGAGATGCAG